CACCATTCCCAAAGGAAGCCAAAGCTCACCAGGTCTGACCCTGGACTGTAACCCTCCTCTCACAGCAAAAGAAGACAATGATGGAACTCAAAGGACAGGAACTCCAGTGACTACTCTATTCCACACAGTATTCAGCACATTGCTGGCCTCAGTACATGTTAAATAGCATGATAATGCTCATGTCTCTAGGCCCCAAGGCCTGTTCACCCTCCATAAATAATGTTTACAATGCTAGACTTGCTGAGGTGAAGGCCCCTGAGCAGGTTCTGTGGATATACAAGGGATGACAATCTCAGTGTCCCTGATTTTGAACAAGAGGCTTCCCTACCAGAAAACTTTCTCATCAAGGCACTTCTAGAACAGTGATCCTACAGAGCCTCTGGAGGAAACATCAGGTGGGAGCTGACCAGACCCACATTTCCTTAGGATTGCCCAACCTGACTCTCCCCTCTGCTTCACCGCTGTCATCCTTGCCTTCTCTGGAATCTTGGCATTATGATTTGCTCCCTCCCTGAGAAAGGCAGCAAGCCTGATTAGGAATGTTGTGCTACTCTGTGCATTCCAGAGTGGCCCTTTGCCATCCTGCTAGTACTTGTGTCCCTTGTGGGTGAGACTCTGGTCAGAATTCAAGACAAGAGGTCAAGAGCACAGAAGGGATGCCCTATTAAAAGGGTATCATTTTAGCCTGTAGAATCATGTGTGTTTTGTCTGGTAACATAAAGCCCTGGGTAGCAGTATGGTACGATGCAGAAAGACTAAAGAGTCTGAATACTGAGATTCCAGTCCTAGGTTGTGGCCATTAACAAGCCATGGGTGGGACCTTCTTTTCTGTCAAATGAGTGAATTGGATTGATTTCTTTTTCTGTGATCTTTTCTGCCTTTCACATTTTTAGTTCTAAGTCACAACTTCCCTGGGCCTGCCTCAGTTTCCTCATCTTAAAATGAGGAGGTTTTACGGGATGTTCTTTAAGGTCCCCTACAGTACTAAAATTCTGTATACCAAAAATGTAAGCAGGCATCTGACAAGCTTAAGGCTCTCCCTACAAGCTACCAGCCACAAGCCCTTCTCTCCCTTTCCTTGTGCTTTGTCCACCCACAGAAGTTACAGCTGCCAAAGGGGCCTATATGTTCATGCTGTGGGTACTATCTTTGGTGCTACAGAGTTTTTGGCTTCACAGTGGATTTCAGGAATATCCTAAAAGCCCAGTGGCTCAGCACCCATTTTCTTGGATGCTCTGACTTGATCCCATCCTTGAGGGAGATAATATTTCAGAACTGCCCGGTAAGAGCTTTTTAGACCTGGTCATGTCTTCTAGGCCACAAATTGGGGCTTTGTCTTTGAATTAATAATTGAGAGCTGTTGTATGTTCTCATAGTTGGTTGAGCTGGAAGAGGGAATGTTACATCTCAGGGTTCTCTGAAGGCCCCCTGCTGGTTATGGTAAAGCAGTTACTTGAACATTTCTCAGGTAATAAACCCCACAATTCATTTGAACGTGCCATTAAAAGTCTCTACTGTTCTGGTGCGGTTTCCTCTATATTTTCTTTCTCTCTCTCTCTCTCTCTCTCTCTCTCTCTCTCTGCCTTAAAGGCCTGCCAAAGAAGAGATGTCCACTTTTTTTTACAGTGGAAAGTTTCTGTGAAGGGCTAGCATGACTTAAGGTATTCTGGTCTTAAAACAATCAATGCCTCAGAAGACAGAGAAGGAGAAAAGAAGCTCTCATTATAGGACTAAGACCGGCAGGGCCCTTAGCCACCTTCCACATCACCTTTCCAGTTACCTCTTTGGGCTGCCTTGGTCATAGCCATCATCCTCAATACGTTCAGATGTTAATGTATGCATACCAAGAATGCAAATCTGATGCTAAAGTAGTGTTAGCTTCTGGGACTTTTCCCTAGCATAATTTCAGATTACCTTCTTTTTCCGTACCATAGGACTTGCATCCAGTTCTTCTCTCTTACCACTCTAGGTCAGGGAGACCATTTCAGTAAAAAGCTACTACATAATTCCAAGTCAACCTTGTTCGGAACAACTGCTTACATTGTAGGTGGACTGGGGAATTAACGTCTTAAATCTCCCCTACTTCCACCACTTCTGCCACTTCTCTTCCTTCATCTCCACCAAGGAGAAAAAGTTCCAGCAAACCTGAAAAGCCATTCTGAGGTACTTGACTTGGCTCTCTGTAAACTATCAAATGGCTGAAGCACTGCCAGACTCTCAGGTAACTCTCTATGTATTGTGGGTTTCTTTCTTTATTCTACGTGTATGTATAAGGGGGAATGGCAAAATAGTAGAAGCAAAATGTTTTGGGGAACTAATGACATTAAAGTGGCAGCTTGTCAGCCTGGGAGAGTTCAGTTCTGCACGAGAGAGATAATTTGCAAATGGACTACTGTGACTATTCACACAGGATTGGGATTTTGGACTTACTTTCAGTATCCCTTGATATTCTTGACTTTATCTTGTTCTACATGTTATTATTTTGACTAGTTCTGTGAAGCATTGCCTCGGTAATTTGCAATGATAAATATGTAAATAACAGAATATTGTTATTGTCATATTGGCGTGACCCAGACATGAACATTGAATATCTCTCTGCTTATTCATACCTTTATTTATTTCTGTTCTGCTTTGTGGTTGTATTTATATAAGTCCTGTATCTTATATAGGCTAATTCCCAGATATTTTATGCATTTTGTTGTCCTCTTAAATGGGATTTTTCATCCTATATTTTCCTGGCTTTATGTTAAGTCTCAGCTTCTGGATATTGCTGTCTTATCCCTTCTCTAATTGCTGCAAAGTACTGCCTTCCTGTTTCTTTTCTTCCCTCTTCAGTGCCATAGAGATCACACCCACTCAGTTCCCTTCCCTACATCAGTAGAAGCACTAGCACTTGAGACACACAGGGTCCCATTTCAGACCCATTCACTCTAGACATCATTAACTCAGTACTTTGAACCCAGTAGGCACTTAATGTTTGGTTTGGTTTGAATAGAATTGATTTAAATAGATACCCACCACCAAAATAGGCTCAGCTATTTAGCACCCTTAGAACAGAAAAGCCTTGCTGTCCATCAGAAATCTGAGCCAACAAAGGTTGCTGCCAACCTCCTAAATCTAGGTCCCACGGGGTCCTTGAGCAGAATGGGTTTGGCCTGCCCAAAGCATCTGCTGAGGTGGCATTTAATTTTGGCCAGAGTAAGTGAGCTGAGGTTGGCCCCATTGCCCTTCCTCTCCTAGGGCACAGTGAATTGGGTGTATCCCAACAGGTCTCAGGGAGCAACACACTTAGCTCAAGGAGGAGATCTAGCATTGTAAGTGCATTTATTTATGCCAGGGAAGGGATGACAGTTCTTTAAATGTTCAGTAAAATTTTATGAACATTTCCTTCTCCCCTCTCCTTTTTTTTGTTTGTTTTCTTTTTTAAATAGCTGTTATTTGGTACTTCTCATCAGCTCAGTGAACCTATAGATTTCAAGGTCTGCCATTCAATTTAACCCTTTGGGAACACTGAATTAAAAATTGAACATATTTATTAAAATACAAAAATACACTTTTCTCACGTTACAGTCAGTATTCTTTTGTTGACATTTCCCCACCCACCCAACCCCACCCTCTTTCAAATCTGAACCCTTTTTTTAAAGCTAAAATAATAAATGAAAATAATTACATCATTAAATGGACCAGAAGCAACAGAGACCCCAGTTTCCCCGCCCTCCTCCCCCACCCCCAAAGTTCCTTCCTTTCTCCTCTTCCACCTAAGGTGGGCCTGGGGGAGGGAAGCCTTCCCCCTTTTGAGCTGTGTTTAATAGGGCTTACTTCACAACCCACTTGGGGGGGGGGGTGTATCCTTGTCTTTCTATATGGGTTTTTTTTAATATATGTTACATTTTTTAACGGTAGATTTTTCATTATTTTTATCAACCACAATGGTGAGAAAAGGCTGCATTCCCAGAGTCAAACTAGACCCTATCATGGCCCTTTTCTCTTTCCTGAAGTTCTGTGCCCCTCCCCACCCTCCCACCACCAGTTGATAGCAGCCAATAATCCCTAATGAATCAGCATTTATATTAGCCACAGAATCACAACCATGAGAAAAGCTTCCACTCTCCCAAACCCCCCATCCTTTCCCCACTCTCAATCTTAAAATTAAAAAAGAAATCATAAAATATTAGAATTGTCTACAATCATTTGTCAGATACCCGGAACAACAGGTGGGCGGGATGATGCTAATTTATGGCCTCTTGTGAATTACATTCACCCTGCTTCCAACCCTTCCCCCTCCCCACCCCTGGCCCTGAATCCCCCTTCTGGTCTCCTCCTCATGGGAAACCCTGAATACACACACATTCCCTACACAGAGTGGGTTAAACTGAACTGCAGGAATCTGGTGCAATGTTAAAGCATTTGACTGAGAGCTACGCCAGTTCCTCTCCCCCTCTGCTCTTTCCTGAAGCGTTCCATTAGATGGGCTGCATGTATGTCTGTGTGCGCAGACAGAGGAGCTGTGTGCACATGGACAGACATACCAAGCTCAGACCCTTTCAGAGGTTTACTTCAATTTTGGTGGTTTCCCTGTTTAAAAGTACATTTATAGTTCTATTTCTCTCATGGTCTCTGAAGAAAAAATTATTGCATCTTAATATTTTGGCACAGTACAAATTCTTGGTGCTTTTTCATGGGTTTTTTTTCTTTTGCTTTTGCTTTTTAATATAAACCTGACAAGACAGCTCTCAGAAATTAAGAACGATGTCTGTAGAAATGGATATTTACTGCATCCTATGAAGCATCTTCTAAAAATGACAGGATCAGTCCATCCTTCCCACCCCCTTGCCCTACCTCTTTAGAGATCATTTTATTGTTGTTTTTAAACAGATTCAACCTTATTCCAGAAAGCCCTCTAATAGGATAACAAGTTTGTTTGTTTGTTTTCTGTCTTCTACCTCCCCCCACATTCCCAAAATTCCCATTCCCCATCCCCCTTTAAATAGAACTTACAAGTTAAAAAATAGTTTTTGTTTTGATTTTGTTTCTGTTTTTAAATTTTAATATAATCTTTCTCTTATCAGCCCATAGATTTAATATATAAGCATATACAAGAAAAAAAAGTCTTTCCCCACTCTGTACAAAAGTTGCTGTCCTTTTTTTGTGCATTCTATTGCATTTTATAATTTTTTGGGGGGTAGGGAAAGTCATATTTGAGTTTCCTGTACCTTGTCCTTGGTGTGAGTCTGAATTATATAAGGTTCAGAGATAGTGGTGACTGTGGGGTGCAGAGAGTTCCCCAGGCTGTTTTCTGTCCAGTGGGCCCCATGTGCTGGTTTGTAGGTGTTGTAGTTAATATGGTCATGAATTGTGGGCAGCACTACTGCCCCCTCACCTGATACACTGGATGGAGCCGCTGCTGCCGTGGTTGCTGGGATGTCTTCATCTACTTGGATAATCTCAACTGTCCGGGCGGCTGATACTGTACTGCGCTGCTGGTGCCTCTTACGAAGTTTATAGAAGACAATCAACATGGCAGCAGCTAACAGAGTCACTGCCACAAAGCAGCCAATGATGATCTTGGTGGTCTTCATGACCTCATCCAGGCTGGTCTGCATCTTGTCATTGGTGTCTGCCGTAGTCACTGCCACTTTGGGCACACGGGTGGTCTGGATGAGCACTGTGGTGGAGGTGGTATAAGCTGGCTGGTAGCCAGTGGATGTGGTGGGCACAGGCTTGTACTTGCGGGTGGTATCCTCAGGAGAGATCTCTGTGGTCTCCACTGTGACTGTGGTAAAGAAGCTGTAGTTAGAAGTGTTAAGCTCAGCCGTGCTCACATTGAGGTAGGCCGAGGCATTAGAGTTGCCTGCCACATTGGTCACCATGCATGTGTATACCCCTGTATCTGTGAGCAGCACGTGAGAGAAGTTCAGGGTACCATCATTGAGGACAGAGATCCGTGGATGGTGGGAGGCGTGGCTGAGCACTGTCCCATTGGGCAGCAGCCACCGTACAGAGGACATGGGGGGAGTCCGACACTTGAGTTCTGCCATGCGACCCTCAGAAATGTTGAGGTCCCGGGGTGCGTCCATGATGAAGGGAGCAGAACACTGGAAGGAAGCCTGATCAACCTCCACAAGGTAGCGGCCGCGCATGTGCAGAGGGGCATGGCAGCGGCCACAGCAGGTGGAATTGGTAGGGATGTACTCTCGCAACCACCAGGCTAACCACAGAATGTCACAATCACAGTTCCAAGGGTTATGGTGTAAGTGCAGCTCCACCAGATACCTCAGCGGAGTGAACAGGTCATGGGGCAAGGAGGAGAGGTTGTTGTGGGCCAAGTTGAGTTCTACAAGTGAGGCCAGCCCATCAAACGCATTTCGTTCAATCAGGCTGACCTGTGAGTTCATGACCCACAACTTCTTAAGGGAGCTCAAGCCACGGAAGGAGCCAGGCCTGATCTCAGGGAAATGATTCCCAGACATCTCGAGCTCCTCCAGTCCCACGAGGGGTGTGAGATTAGGCATGTCCTTGATGTTACACATGCCCAAGTTCAAGTATTTGAGGTTGAACAGTCCCTCAAAAGCCCCCTCAGAGATATATTCCAGCTTCTTAAGTTCCCCCAAGTCCAGGCGCATGAGGGAGGGCACCCGGTTAAAGGCATAAGAGGGGATACTCTCTATAGGATTATTTCGAAGCCAAAGCTCCCGAAGCTTAGACAGATACTCAAAGGCCCCACTAGGGATGACAGTCAGCCAATTGTCAAAAAGCTCCAGGGTATTGAGGCTGGCCAGGCCATTGAAAGCCCCCACCTCAATTTGCCGGATGGAGTTCCTGCCTAGCTGCAGGACCTCCAGGTGATGAAGGTGCCGGAAGGTGTCAGCCTGGATCATCTGGATGTTATTTTCCATGAGGTTGAGGTACCGGGTGTTGGAAGGAATGCCCTGGGGGACCTCAGACAGGCCACGGCGCGTGCACACCACCTTACTGAACTGGTTACTGCACGAACAGACGGAGGGGCAGTTCTGGGGCCCAGCGGAGGCAGCAGCAGCGGCAGCAATGGCTACACACAGAATCCACACTTGCGCTGTGAGGTAGATGATGGGGAGCAGGATGGCATTCCAGATGTGGTACACAGTTACCTGCCACAAGAGCTTCATGATGTGGCACGTTCATAATTCACCATCGCCTGGGATTTTGGCTCGGAAAGGAAAACCGGCCCTACCCCGGCTTAAGTGAGCTAGGAGCTCCTCTTTCCATCTGGAGAAGGAGGTGGGGAGGGAGCAGTCAGAGAGACAGAGCAGATCCGGCCAGGAAAAATGCCAGACTAAAATGTGGTCCCCCATCCGCCATCTCCTCTGCCCCTACACCCACCTTTCAGAAAAAACACTCACTCTCCCCCACCCCCAAAACTAACCCTCTGGCCCCCTACCAAAGCAATGCCCAACCAGTTCGCGACACCTACCTCAGAAGGAATTGGCGTTGTGTCCTTAAGCTTTCACCACAGGAGCTGGGTACATTGTTCCCATTCTTACTCCTTAGTTTTAATTAACAAAGGGAAGGGGAGAGGAGTAGGGGTAGGGGTAGGGGGTAGAGGGGAAAGAAGGGGTGGGGGAGACAAAATGGCTTCTAGTAAATCCAGAGCAGGAGCAGGCGAAGCAGCAGAATTGAGTAGAACCAGAAAAAGATGAGGCCCTCTGGGCTATGCAGGTGCATCCCCCCCCTGCGCCCCAGAGAGCAGCGCCACCAGCATTTCCCAGCTTTGTCCTTGGACCCTGGCGCCAGTTCTCACAAGCAGCCAGTGAAGAAGCTTCATTGCCAAAGTGTTCCTCTGCCCCCCCCAACTGTGCCCCCTTCTGTTGCCACCCAAAGAAAGTAGAAAGGGGGAAAAAACCGCAAAGCTTCCTAGGAGACACTCCTTCCTGCTGATACTCCCACTTCCCTTTGTGAACCTCCTCTTCGGGGAGCTGTACGCTCCTCACCCACGGAGCACCTCTCTTGGGCCAGCGGCAGCTGATTGCAGTTGTTAGCTCATGGAGTGCTCTTAGGGTTGGAGAAGAAGGGGAGGGGGAGGCAATGTATGTGGTTTCTTTCTGCTTCTCCCTCCCCAGATACACACCCCCTTTTTATTCTCTCTCAAGAGGAAAGGAAGAGGGGCAGGGGGGAACTAGCTTAGCCTTCTAGCCGGCAGATGCATAAGTATCAGCCTTCCCCTCCAACAGTGAGCAGTAATCCGGCCAGCCCTCTGAGGAGGGCCAGCAGTGTGGAGAGGGTGCTGGGGCCAAACCCAGTGCCCCCAAGAGGGAAACAGAGAGCTAATGGTTGTAGGGTGCTTTCCACGATCCCCTCCAGTGAGCCCTTGGTGCAAAAATGGGTCCAGCAGTGGCAGCAGCAGTAGCAATAGCAACTCCCAGAGATCAGCCAGCTTCCTCCTCCTTCTCCCAGGGCCCCCAGATCGAAGCTGGATCTCCCTTTGTGTTGAGGTAGCGAGTTGTGGGCTTTGCCTTTTGTTGCCTTCAATGCCTTTGTTGTCCACTGACTGCAGCAGTGATAGAAGCAGCAGCAGCAGAGGCGGCAGTGGCGGTGGTCGAGAATGCGTTAGGAGCGCCAATCCCTGGGAGCATCTTCCCCTCTTCCTAGTAGCGGTGGTAGCGGGCCCCCTGCACTCTCCTCCCACCGTCTCCTCTCGCTGGGCTGGAGGTGTTGCAGGCAGCAGCCACGCAGACTGCTCTCTCATCCTTTTGTCCTTCAGTCAGAACGTGAATGTACTGCTGACGCATACTGTTCTGGGGAGAAGATTAGCGTGATGCAGTGCTCTTATGTATTAACACAGCCACCCCCTCCTCTGCTTTCCCTCGAGGGGTTAATGCCGAAAGCTTCCAGTGAAGCTGAGGCGATTTGCTCAGGCAGGCAAGCTCCTCTCTTCCTTCCTTCCTTCCTTCCTTCCTTCCTTCCTTCCTTCCTTCCTTCCTTCCTTCCTTCCTTCCTTCCTTCCTTCCTTCCCCCTCCCCCCAAAGCTGCTTCCTCCCTCCCCCCCCCTTCAGATTGAGGAGAGAAGGGCCAGGGTATGAGCAGGAGAGGAGGAGTGAGAGTCAAGTGCCGGGCTGGGAATCGAAGGCGTTGGCAGCTATTTTGGTCCCGTTGGAGGGAGACGCTGGGTAGCAGTTGATAGGCTGGATTGGACAGGGCTGCAGCAAGAGAGTCTCGGAAGCCAGCTCCTCGTCTCTCTCTCCTCACACAGTTGCTGTTCCTTCCCTCTTTCTGGGGGTGGTAGGATGGGAGTGGGAGAATGGAAGTAAGACAGAAAGAAGGCTCCAACTGCCCAAGGCTGGGCTGCTGCAATTGGCCAGCCTCCTGCCCACGCCACATCATCCTCACTCCCACCCCCAAATGCTGACTGAGTTCTTCTTTTGGTGGCAGGGGCAGCATGCTCAGTTATGAGTTGTATGGTGGGGTCTGGGGGGCAGGGGGAGACAAGGACAAAGGAATTAGAGGGGCTTAGAGCCAGAAGACGGACTAGTGTCGTTTGAGTAGCAAACCCGGAGAATCATAATTAGTGTTTTTCCCTTCCTCCTTCCCTCCCTCACAAATTTCCCCTTCCCTTTTGTAGGCTTTAACTAGCTTAGAGTTCCCTTAATGAAGGTTTGGTGGGAGGGAGACAGGGGGAAGGAGTGAGGAGGAATGACAGCTTGGGACAGCACAAGCAGCCAGGGCAGCACAAATGGTTTGAAGTGATCTCCCAGAATCCACGGTACGACTGGTTCATTCATACTGCTGCCACCGCCTCCTTTCACTCTTAGCAACTATGTGCCGCCCCCTTTCCCCTCCCCTTCACCCAGGCACTGGGGCTGCTTGGGTCTCCTAGTCTTAACAGCGTCCGAGTCCCCTCTCTTCGTCTTTCCTTTACCTTTGACTCTCTTTGAGTTCTTAGTAAAACCAGGCATCAAATGGAACCTGGAAAAGAGCTTTCCTTTCCATAACTAATTTCTTGCTAGGGAACAGCTGGGGTGTTTGCCAGATATGGTTAGGAAAAGAGGAATAAATCAAACTCACTCCTATGGATCCAGCAGATTTCCTTCTCTCCATCCTGTGGAAGGATTTCTGAGTCTGACTCTGTAAGTCTCTGCAAAGCTAATCTGTCTGTTCTTCCTTCAGGGGCACATCTTAGCTTCACCTTAGAGCATCTCAGGACCATTTCCATCTAACCCTTACCCCCAACTCACTTCTCTATTTCTACCACTTGGCATATGAAGGCTTTGTGATCTGGAATTTAGGAACTGGAACCCAGAACCCCCTAAGTTCTTAGCTACCCTGACTTTGCCATAGTTATGGTAGATGGCCTTGGGAACATCCCTTTTTACCCACTGTGCCTTAGTTTCCCTGACTGTCTAATAAACATAGAAAGTGTTGTATCTCCAACATTTGCTCATGGGCTAAAGCTTAGGAATGACATGAAAGCCTTCCTCTTGAGAGAAAGTAGTGGTCCCTGTTTGAAGGGGAAGGGCAAGTGCTCTCCTGCTGTGAATTTGGTGTCAACTAGGCCATGACTATGGTTGTTTCTAGGGATCTAGTCATGGTGATGATGCTCTGTGTTTTACCCCAAGTTAGTGACTTTTCTGTTGACTTCTCACTGTGAGTAAAGGAAATAAGGAGAGGAGGTTGCCTAAAGCTTAACTGAAGAGGAGTCAGTGAAGGGTGCATTGTGTGGAAGTGAAGTGAGAGGCTGTCTGGGAAGCGATCCTTTACTGAGCCCCTTGCCTACTGAGTAGCTCTGACCATGTACGTAAGAATGAAGCAAGAGAGGAAAATGGAGTGACTGGCGTGGTGACCAACTTTCCTGATCAGGCTGTGTTGCTGCTCTGCCCTGGCATTCCTCTTCCTACACATGTCAGCAAAGGCAAGACTCCTGTGCTGCCAGGGCCCATGCAGCTGTAAACAGGACACACTCCTGTTGCGAAGCCAAGGAAACCTGAAACCAACCCTGTTGGGGCCTGTGGCAGAGGAGATAGAGGGCTGTGTGTGAGGAGCAGTCTCTGCAAGCTCATGTAGGCCAACCTACTGGGGCTTTTGTCTGAGCTGGACTTCCCGGAACAGGGTCTGTAATGAGCGTACATAAGCATTGTCACCTTTCCACAGGCGAGAGGGGGACTCTGACTGTGCTGCTTTCCTACCCGCGTAGGCGAGCCCAGGCTCCATCTGCTCTGTTCTAATCCCAGCAAATGCAAGTTTCTGCCTCCGCACCACAAGGGGAAATAAGAGTAGTTGGACTGACTTGGGTCACAGTGATGCCTAATAATGAAATTGTCACTAAATAAGCAAACATGTGTTGATATTGATAAGTCTTTCACTTTTCCTTTGGGGTGGGGGAGGAGAGGGGTAGAGAAAGGCATTTTCAGGTCCTGCTCCACTGCCAGAAGGTCACAGGTTGCCTGTGGTCATTTGAACTGAAAGCATAGGAGCAAATATATGGCTGGAGAGATACCCGGCTTCTTATCTCCAAGCCTTGCTTAGGTAAGTAAGCCAATCAAAGGGATGCTACATGCCAGATACAGCCTTACTCATCCTAAGAAGGTTCTGTGCTTTTACTGAGGCTGTCGCCCATGCCTGGAATTCACTTCCTTCTCACTTCTTCGTATTCCTTCTTCCAAAACTCCGCTCAGGCGCCACCTCCTTCAGGAAGCCTATCTTGATCTACCCCCCTGCTCTCCCTCCCCAGCCCCCAGGTTACTTTGCTGTACACAGGTTGTGTTCTTCTCTGCCTCCCCTACCCACCCACCACCACCATGAGTTCTCCATAAGGGAAAGTTGTTTATTTCCCCAGCATTTAGCATATTTAGTACCTGACAGAGTAGGTGTTAATAAATGCTTGTTAAATGAAATGTCTCCTGAAGTCCCTTTTATTATTAAGGTACCATGCCTTACTGAAATGCCTTTTTCCAACATTATTTTCATTATTTGCACATTTGTAGTAAAGAGAAAGTAAGACCAGAAAAGGGAATGATAGTAATTCAATAGAGCACTGTGAGATTAACAAAGTGCTTTCTTAGCAACAACCCTGTGAATTATTATCCCCATTTTACAGATGAAGAAACTGAGGCTCAGAGAGGTTATGGTCTCAATAAGCAAAAATAAAGGAATAGATAGATGGCAAAGATAGTATTTGATTGAAAGATAGGCAAGGAAG